CGACGGGTAAACACCTTTTCTTCCAGTAGTTCTGCAGCTGCTGGCCCTGGTTGCTCAGCCAACAGTCCTGAGTCCTGTAACCCATTTTTCACCAGATATCCAGGAACTCCAATATCTAGTGCGGACCTTGTTAACCCGGGCGACGTCCGAGCCGGTATGGCATTCTGAAATTTACGTCTCACCATATTTTTTATGGGAGAGACACTCTTTGTCTGACTCCTCTGATGAGACCTGTCCAGTATGGTTGAACCTCTGGCATAGCTCTCATCTTCCTCAGAGTACACAAGCCCCACAACCACGTCAAGGTAGTGCCTCACTGGGGGTTATTATTATTATTATTATTATTATTATTATTATTATTATTATTATTATTATACAACTGACCTTGTAGTAAAATTTAAATCCTTGTTTCTTAACTTTAGCCAGTCAATATTCATATGGTCCTTATGTAACCTATAGTAATGCCTATTTGTTTTCTGTCAAAAGTCAAAAGCCTCAGCATTTGTTCTTACATCTAAATGAGATATATGTATCTCAGATGTGACATTGTTTTTATTAATCTCCTTTGAGACAACTAAATTCTAATCTGAATAATAGCCAGCATAAAAATTTAAAACAAGCAACAGAAAGCTGTTGTAAAAAGCACTACAGTTAGCATCTGAAGAGTGTGGGGGGGGGGACTAAAATACATCAAAATGGCAGGCCCAATCAGGTTATAAAAGCCCAACCCCTTTCTAATATGTTGGCCTAAATTATACAGACATAAAATGCAGAATGGCTTCAGTAACCTCAGAATGCCTGCCATTTTGATGTTGTTTAATAATTGTATTAAACGTTTTAATTATAATAGTAAACAATAATACAAACAAAAAAAAGGAGAACACTGAGTGAATAAAAAGTGCTAGAAAACAAGAAAGAAAAAATGTAAAAAAAATCCCTATAAAAACAACTTCCCATCCTCATCACAAATATAAACAATATATAACACTATATTTTTACCTCTTCTTAATTAACTATTATAAAATTCTTCATCCCACAACTCTGTTCTTCATTATAGAAAAATCCAATAAGTAAAGTCTTCTCCAATCCAGGAGTGGTGTTAACAAAAAGTCCAAACAGAGCCTTAAAATAATAATATTAATTATACAAATGGTAAAACTCATCATTCCATATCACAATTCTTAATTGTAAGCAAATCTACATTTAGAAGATCAAGTGGTCTCAGTATTTTATTATAAACAAAAGGCTGAAATGCAACATGACAAAGAGGGATAATATCTCCTTTAGAAAGAGAAAGCTCACAAAGGTTGCTAAATGCAAAGATAATTAGATACTAAGACAATTTAGATGCTGTCAGATTAGGATACAGTAGTAACTGTAGGGGGAAAGGCTTAAAAACCAAGGGTTTTTTTTCCCCATTCAATCATGTCCAATTCTCAAAGACTGCCTATACAAGTCCCTCAATTAACTATTAATTTATTTCTAGTCCAGTATAAGCAAGTCCAAAAAGAACCATCCAAAAAGAATGTGGCATTTTAACTCTGATTGAATCAACCAACTTTATGTTCCTTCCTTTTGTGTAAAAGAATCTTGCTTTTTAATCCATTATTCATCCACGAGTAATCCATTTAATTTGTGATTATCAATTCTTATCTCAAATTTCTTTCTTTTTGATGTTGTTAATCTGCCTATAGGTACCCTTAATTGGACACACCTTTCAAAAATGGTAGTATTTTTTTTAATCAGTGTTTTTTTAAACAAATAATACTGTACATTATAATGTATAGCATCATTACAGATATACTGTATGTTTGGTCCTATGGAGCATTTTAAAGCAAGATATTAACGGAATGAATATTTATTTGTTTGTTTGTGTGTATTTATTTATCCATTTAGCAAACATATATGACCACCCAGCTCACACATGATTACTCTGGGAAGCTTATAAAATGGATGTCTCTGAAATAATTTAAAAAAAAGAAATTATCAAATATGCAGCTAATGTCATACTAATGTCCCTTGTGGCAGGGTTAGATTTTAGAATGGTATATGGTTGTAATCAAACATAAGAGTCCTATGCCTCTTTTATTCTCCCATTCCTATATTGTCCAATGAATGTATTGAATGATATACTACCATACTACTTTATTAGTCACTACTTGCAATGAGGATAAAATTTCACAGGGTGATAATGCAATATGCATTTTATTTTCAAGACGCAACAGGAATGGAGGGGAAAAAGTATGGAATTCCTCTTCTTTTTTGCAGAGCTCAGGAATCAAATTCCATAACATGATAAAAATGCCATTATTAATATTGTGATTAAATACATTCAGCTGGCAGTTGTACAACATTCACAGACTATTAATCATTGCTGCTACCTAAAACTGACATAAATATTAAAAGGGAATCCTATGATACAATCTTTCCTGAACTCTACTATTCAGTATGCAGGGTAAGAAGGTGAATATTTGCATATTGTTCTATGCAAATAGAAAACCAATACATTAAAAAGCTAATCAATATCTTTCTCCAAAACTGTACTTGCACAAGTGCCGTATTTCATGAGAAAGGCATTCGAGCATGGAATTTCTCCATCTTCAATCTGAAGAATAGGGTAGAGGGAAAATAATGTTATTTGTTTTATAAACTATTCTGGCTTATTCCATAAACTGCAGCTAAGGCAGCCCAACCGATGACTGGCTGGGGAATTCTGGGAGTTGAAGTCCACAGCTCTTAAAGTTGCCAAGGTTAGACACTCCTTTTCTAGAGGAACTTGATCAAAACTGCTTTCTATCAAAATTGCCCAAGCTTGCCACATAGCTAGATTGAGACATGCCTTTAATACATTTCCTCTTGCCTACGCAGACAGGATAGACTTCCTTTTGGGTCATGTTTTCTCGTTGCTTTTAGCCCATGTGTTGTCTGTTTTCCTTTTATAGACCAGATGTTGATCAGTTTAAACACGAAAAACGAAAATGTTAACAAGAGCAACAATATGTAGAGTAGGAGTAACTATAACCTCTAAATTCAAAAAAAGCTACAATAACAGGGATGAACAATTTCAAGAAACAAGGTTGTTGAAAAGGAGATATCCTTTATTTCCAAAGTATTACAATCATCTTACATATCCCCCTAATGATCCCATTCTTCCCTTGAATTCTCCAAACCCTAAACTGGGACAAAATGAGTTCTCCCTTCAAAGAATAAACCTCTCTATGAAACAGTACCCCAAACCCCTGCAATTTTTACACTTCTTACTATTAAAAGTAATTGAACAGAAATTAACATACTAAATCACCCAACTCTATGATCAACTCTATTTCCAGCAATGGGTGTGGTCTTGATATAACCCCCATATTTTTTTTCTGTATTTAATTTTATTAAGGATTTTGATTACAATAGTAAAAAGTAATACAAACTAAACTGAAAAAAGAAGAATCAAGACTGTAGTGAGAAAGATTGAAAAGTACAGAGAAAAGGAAAGAAAGAAGAAAAATATATAAATGACTTCCAATCTTCATTGCAATAAGTTTAGACAAATGTAACAACTCTTCACTCCCTGTAACATTACAAACATATATCTCTACCATCCCTTAAACAAATCCATAAAAAAAAATCAACTTTTCAATCCTGATGTCAGCAAAAGTCCAGAAAGGGTTGCCAGAACTTTGCAAAAAAGTCTAATTATAACCTTGATCAAGTAAATAAATGTTATATTCCTTCCCTTTATATCCAACAGTCTTCACTTCTAGCTTATTCAAAAATTGTAGGATTTGATTTCTTTCCATTCTTTTTTATCCTACTGCACAAAAATCTTCAAGGATTTAACTAGCCTCTTTTGTAGATTCAATTAAGAAAACATTTTTCAGATTATTTTCTTGGTCTGTCATTTGCATTTCTCCTTTAATTTTTTAAAACCTCAGCCAGTTTTTTGTTTTTTGTTTGTATATCCAAGAAAGCATTCTTTTTCCAATTCATTCTTTTAGCCTGAGATGGGTGGCAAACACGATAGATAGATAGATAGATAGATAGATAGATAGATAGATAGATAGATAGATAGATAGATACTGTAGATCAGTGGTTCTCAACCTGTGGGTCGCGACCCCATTTGGGGCCGAACGACCATTTCACGGGGGTCGCCAAACAACACAGTCCGCCATTTTTTTCCCCTTTTCCTTAGCTGTGCTACTCCCTTTTATTCTATTGGCTTTTGAAAGCCAATAGAATAGACTCTCTTGAATAGAGTCTAATTCTATTGGCTTTCAAAGCCAATAGGAATTGTCCAGGCTGTCTCTGCCCTGCTGAGCCCGCCAAAAGTCCCATTCTGCAAATGGTGCTGCACCAGTTGAGTAGTCCTCGACTTACGACCGGTTGAGTAGTCCTCAACTTACAACCGGTTGGGGGTCGCGGCATTAAAAAGGTTGAGAACCACTGCTGTAGATAGAGTGAATTTTCCCCCCATGCCATCACTCTGCTGAACACTTAATTCCCACAGCACTGTCTCTATTATTTTTTCTCCTCATCTTTCCTACTATCTTCTCCTATTGGTTTCTTATGTTGTAGTTTGTAACTTATGATTAATGATTGTAACTATGATTTATGATCTATTACCTGCTGTTTATATATACACTGTGAGCTTATGTATCGGAGACAGATTCCTTGTGTGTCCAATCATACTTGGGTAATAAATAATTCTATTCTATTTATGCTGATGCTGTTTCTATTAGGTACAAGTATGGATTATTTTTTGTGTGCGTGGATATGTTGAAAAAGCAAGAAACTTCTCAATTATGACACCTCCACTTTAGAGATCTTTCACTTCTGAAATATGAGAGGCATTTCAATAGATCAGCTTCTGTGATATCTTAAAATGCATCTTTTGATCCATTTGGAGCTGACTAGTTTGAATGTACAGACCCTACACAAAACAGTTTTATAAAGCATTTTTTGCTCTCTTCATTTAATTATATCAGCTGTTTGCCCCTTTTTTAATTCAGGAGAAATATGGGAAGAAAGAGGAAGAAGAAAGAGGAAGAAAAAGGAGTCTGTGACAGAAACAGTATTTGAACGGGAGATAATCTCAATTCTTACCACAACCTCTTAGCCATGAAGCTCCTGCAGCAGCAATTAGCAACATGAAGATTGAGTCCAATTTAACTAGAGCTTCCCAAGTAGCTCCAAGCAAGCTTATGCTGAAGTTGCTTATTTATTCCCAGTTCTTTATTCATTTGAAACCCTAACGGACAGCTCAATCAGTCAAGTATCTACAACCTAAAGTTTATATGAGGCTACACCTAAGAGAACTAACTCATGTCATATGTCTTTAATCAAGGCATTCTGCAGTTCAAGATAAACAATAATTTATAATGAGATTTTAAGGAACTGGAAGTAAGTCCCATAGGCACTAAACCATAAGGAAATGCTGTAACATTTGAACTTTCTCCATGTTGGGACAGAAGCTTGACAACAGATCCTTGTTTTATTTCTCACCTCAGCCATTTCTCCAAGAAACTAATAAAAAGTTCAAAGCCACTTCCACTGAACAAAAAACACTCTGGGAATAGAGGTTGGGCTCACATGCTGAAAATATACTGGAATAATCAGTTCTTGCTTTCTACGTTTGGTCTGTTAGTCTTTCGTCAAAATATGTCCCTCATCCTAACACAGATTAGTTGCTAACATACTATTTCACAAAACATGGATATTTTTCTGCATTAGAATATTAAGTACTTGCTTTTTTGGTCAATTTTATTTGGTAGACTGAGACTGAAGTTCTATATATCTATGCCTTTCTGTGTATGAGATAGAGAGAAAATGTGGACACATTTGCACATTTATTATTTTAGGGAACTTCTATCCACGCTTATATGAATGTCATAACTATACTTTTATGACTTTAATTTAACACATGAGTGGTTTCCTGGGTAAACTTTCACTTTAATCTCACTTTCACACCATACAATAATATGATACCCTCACACAGCCCATTATGAAGAAAAGCTCAGGACAGCTTTCATATTCGTGCATGTTTCAAGTATTGAGTGAAAAGTCTGCAATGACTCAGTTACATTGCAAAAGAGAACATTTAAAAGAACCGGTTGAAATCACTGTTTTTAAGCAACATTGTTGCTGTGAAAAAATAGATTAAAATTGCATTAGTGTGGCTAACATAACACAGACTGAATTAACACATGCTGTAAATCAGGGGTCCCCAACCCCCAGTCTGTGAACTGGTACCGGGCCACAGCATGCCAGCAACTGGTTCACACAAACAAGCAAAGCCCCATTCATGGGATGCAGGCAGCATACAAAACCACACACTCTCTGGTCCGTGGAAAAACCTTTCTCCACGGTTTAGGGTCCCTGGTGCTCTAAAGGTTGGGGACCTCTGCTGTAAATGATTGAAATTAGCTTCACTGAGGCCAGATCTAGTGTTGTAACAGGAACAAAGTTGTGGCTATGATAATCCTTGTGTGCTTAGTCCTCCTATTCATCTAATGAGAACAGTTTATAATGTGATATCATTGTCAATCCAATCTGACTTCCAATGAATTCAAAAAACAGTGGTAAAACTTTATCACAATAATAGTCTCTTATTTGCCAAAAAACAGTGAGTATAACTTGAGCTACTGCAGTCAGACATAGCTACCTAATATTGGAAGACAATTTATTTGTTTGCTTGTTTGTTGAATTTATATAGCCACTGTCAACTGTCCAGTTGGCGAATCCAGAAAAAGAAATTCCTAGGACATTATTTGACCAAGAGTATAAACTTTATTGAACAAACCTCATTGGCACAGAAGAAGCAAAACCAGCTCTGGATTTCCCACACAAAAACAAGCATAGATAATCCCCCCCTTTCCCTACTGTCTGCCCTCAATCCATTACATTCACCAATCACTTCTGTTCATTTTGTTATGGGAACCAGCCAGCCATGCTGGGACATCTGCTCGGTGTGTCCTTGAAATGGAAGCAATGTCTCACGAGAGCCAACGGATGCTTGGATGCCATTCCCCCCACCCTTGAATTCCATTCCACCTCCCTCCCTTTTATTGTCAGGCTGTGAGCGAAGCCAAATGTAAGTAAAAATGCGAGTCAGTCTTGACAGCCACCTACTCGCTCACCGCAACTCTAGGCGGCTTACAAAAGTTCCTTGTCTTTGCTTGGTGAACTGACTGACTGATTCTTGGATATTGCCCAATTGTTGACTGGATTAGTATATTTACAAAAGACAATTTCTCAAGTTTTGTGAGCACAGCTATATTTTCCTGGGGGAAAATGTTATATCTGTTTTAGTTTCAGCATCTGCAGTCTTCTTGGACAAAATGCTCTTAGCGCCCTATTCCTTGAGCGTATTCATCTTGGAAAGTTGCTACTCTCTTTTTATTCACTCTGGGTCCAATTCAAAAGATAGAGATTGAAGAACTTGCTGTTTCTTTTCTCCCTCTTCTGATTATTTGCTTTATTGGAAAAGATAAAGGAAGAGAATATAGCAGGGAAGAGCGGACAAGTCAGGAGATCTCAAGAATTCAACTTCCAATCTCTTACTAAGATAAGTTGTTTCCAGTTTCTAACCTTGGTAGGCTTATATCAGGATATAATCATAAGCAAACTGAAAAAGAGAGGGGGGGGAGACCTTCTCCACTGTGTTAAATGAGGAACAATGACTGGAACCTTTGAAGGACATGCTATACTCCATATTCGAAAGGGCCATGGCTAAGAAGCAAAAGAGACTAGGGCAAAACTCAAAGTTGATTTCATTCTATATCATTTAATTGTACTAGATGGAGAACATTTGTAAATAATACAATTTATAAAAAAAAATGCAAGCATTTTTCTCCTTCTGTTACAAATCAGCAGCAATGTTTAGAGAAACTGCCCCTAAAACTTGTATGGACTGCAGATTGTGCACTCATGCTAATTAAGTAAAGCTATCTCTTTAAAGGACAGAAATTGTTCCAAATAATACTCTTTAATGAGCAGATGTGCATACAAAGCTTCTTGGTAGAAGATACTCTATTTCTGCTTGTTAATATAACTAGCAGTTGCTTATTTTAAGCTCTTGAGAGCTTGGAAATAATAAATATTATACTATTTCTGTCCACATTGTGTCATTTTTCTAATCAAGTTCACCAAATTGGTGATAAATCAGATGATGTTAAATCTTACATATACTCTTTGTATATAAAACCATTTATACAAACAACCCAGAAATTTGCCTTTACTGGGAGAAATACGCTAATACAACGTCATCCACTATTACAAGTAGTAGTGCTGCCAAATCACTTGTTTAAATATTTGATCTCTTATAACCCTCATGTTCCCTCCACCGCTGTTTGGGTACATTATGTCATCAGATTCTGGAAGTTTATAAATTCAGTAGAATAAAAGCTATGGTTAATCTGATTCAGCTGAGGAGGTAGAAAAGAAGATTTCATTAAGCTTGCAATATATAACTGTTGATCAAATGCTATGTTTAAATGCAGAAATATCTTTTTTGAGGGACCTATCTATATTTATATCTAATGACAATAAAGATATTCTATCTATATCTATATCATCTAGGTATGAATGAACTCTTAATGGGATATTCCCCGTTTTGTATGTTTTTTCCCCCCCTCAGTCCTCTTTGTCTCTGAAAAGTTGGGGAATCCTTTAGAATTATATTGAAAATAGCATTGATCTGGGAAATATACAGGGAAGCATAATTCATGAAAATTACTTTCTTCTTAGTTAATGAAGCTTCCATTAAATCAAATATCAAAAGTTCCTCTAATTGTGAAACAAGTCCCATGGAATTAGTTAGAGTGCAGTACTGTAGGCCACTTTAGCTGACTGTGTTCAGCAGGTCAGCGGTTCAAATCTCACCGGCTCAAGGTTGACTCAGCTTTCCATCCTTCCGGGGTAGGTAAAATGAGGACCCAGATTGTTGGGGGCAATGTAAATATATATATACATTGCTTACTGGTGTACACCGCTTAGAGAGTGCTTGCACTTAAAGCGGTATATAAGTCTCATAAATAAATAAATAAATAAATGTGACATCAAATAATGGCTAAGCCAAGTACAAGCTTAACAGTATTGTCATTATTTCCTCTCCTTTTTTTGCTTTTCTGGTTTGAATTGAAAATAGAAGCCATTGTTTTCCAATTCAAACGTAATAGTGAATTATAATTTGCAGAAAAATTGTCAGGCACAAAGAACCAGGACTATTTGTTTAGGTTGCAGCATAAATGATTTATTGAAACCTATTTCCAAGAATCTGGTCAACTAATGGTCAGCACTAAATTAGTGCTAGATATGGCTCAGTGGAATTCAAAGGGGCTGGACTTGGGCCTCTTGTGGCAATGCAAGGACTCCAAACTAATGGCCCATTTTACCTGACCCTGCAGTTCTGCCTGCTCTTCTACTGAAAAATGTGAGGAGACATAAGAGAGATTTTATCAGCTGTGTATATGTGGGTAGAATATTACCTATAGCAATAATATCCATAATACTGCAGACAGAGCCATATTTCAAGACTATATAGATATAAACAATTCAACTTTACAATTAACAATAAAAGGTCTATATTGTATATAATATGAAAATAAAAGGAAAAGAAGCTAGTACATTTATGTCATAGACAAAACAACTACACAAGAGGACTGTTTAAAAATACCTTCTTTAGTCATCTATTCATTAGAGTTATTTTCATGTCAACTCAAATTAAAAAGTGTGCAATTATAATACTTTTAAGAAATAAGAATGAGAGTATTTGATTATTGATTGCAATTGCTGAGTGTGCACAAAATTAAAGATGATTAGAGGGGAACCATCTTGCACATATGTACTATTCCTAAAATCAGATTTAGTTCCTTTTTTTCAGTCCATCAGTTATTGCTTTTTATAAAACTAACTTTTATAAAAGGTCATTGATAAAATGTTGGCTTAAATCTGCAAAAAATGGTGTTCACAATATACATGAAAATATATGTTAGCGTATATAGGTCAAATCATTTGAAAACAAAAATTTGTGTTTTGCCAAACTATAGGCTTTAAAGGAGATCTAATAATTGTTTTTGAAAGTTAAAAAGCATCTAAAGAAAAAGTAATCACTGAGATGTTCTATTCATTTATACTTTACAAATTATAAAAATGTTCTGAAAATCTTTAAAATGAGAATTGCTATCAGCCTACATAAGCATTTTCACCTGCTGTTAGTTATAAACTTCATGTACTATTCTTCTTCTAACCAAACCTTCTAGTTCCTTTCAATGTCCCATCAGTGTCTTTTCTTGTCCCTTGCTTACTAGCACAACCCATGAAATTATATAATTACATGGTTAAAAAAAATATCAAGATTTGCCATCATCAAGGCATGGTACATTATAATCTTTTTAAAAAATTAAAGCACTATCCTTATTTTCCTTTCCCGAGGTGGCTGCAATAATGAAATATATAACAAAAACGCCAAGGAGTTTGCATATGAACTATCTGTATAGTACTAGAAATATTTGCTGTACTTACTATCTCAGGAAATCCTCTGTAAAAGTATCAGACAGGACCAGACCTGCTTAGCTGGGCTGTGCAACGCTAAATATGTTTAATTGGAACTAAGTCCTTTTTAATTCAGTGGCGTTTTATTGCCTTAAGAGATTCCAACAGACCAAATGGTTGCTTGCAGAATGGCAACAGTAAAAAAAAAAAACTATTAAAGTGCATTGAATAAACACAGATCTTATTTGATAGGATCTATCTATCTTCCAGTAGGTCTGCCTTTTATATGAATTAATTAGTGATGCCGAGGTATTATCTGCATAGCTAATCATTTCATATCATCGACTCACTATAGAGCAGTGGTTCCCAACCTTTTCTATACCCCGCACCCCCAGAACGCTTCTGATATATTCCCACACCCCTTACAAAAGCTCAAAATAATGGCAACGAATTATGCATATACACTATAATTTTGAAAACCCAAGTTTTTGCACCCCCTGGAATATCATCTCGCCCCCCCCCAGGGGGTGCAAGCACCCCTGGTTGGGAACCCCTGCTATAGAGAATCAAGATACAGGGTGAGTCTGAATAGGTTGTTTTCCGATTACCAACAGCTAGCAAAGAAAGGGAATGGGTTTAATTCTCTTCTCTCCAGAGGCGTGTCAAAAAGAGAAAACCTGACCTGTCCAGAGGTGCAGACCTACTGCAGACCCACCTAAGCATGGGCAGTCTGAGGCTTATTAATAGGGTCCCTTGGCAAAGAGACAAGAGTTCAATATTCTTCTCCAGGACATGTGGTGAATGTCCTCATAATGACTATTTGGTTCCTTTTAATAATAGCAACAGCCTAGTATTTCTCATTATTTTTAAAACAAATATTTATCTTTCACATTTGTACATATACTGAGCCTGTGGCAAATTTTAACTATGAAAATCCTCACATCAAATCTACTTTAAAATTAGGTTTATGCAGTATAAAGAAAGGCAGGGTGGTTAAAAACTGATGCCTGCTGCTTGCTGAGCACTGACCCCTTAAGGAAATTCAGAATTACTGCATCTTGTCTAAGAAAGCCTTGGTTTCTCCCCCCCCCCCCCCAGCAAAACCTAAAATTTCAGTTTTCTGTGAACTATGCTTCAAGGATCTTGGCAGTTTATGTCAAAGAGTAGGTCACACTATTTCAATACCACATATTCAAGAATAAGAATATCGTGTCAAAGGCGTCACAATTGTCTAACAGAATTATTTGAACCTGCTTTAAAGAGGAGATTTTTGTCAGAGATTTGGGAAATCTTTTTATTATTCAAATGTAAACGGAACTAATTCTGGGCTTCCTACCACGATGGTCTTCACTCACCATGCCACACTACGAAGAGGGATTTCATTGTAATTTGAAGTTCTAAAACGTAATTAAGCAATCTTGGAATACAGTTTAAGAGACCTCTAAGAATTAGTTCCTTGTCCACTTACCAAACAGCAGGAAGTTGCCATATTTCCTGGTAACACATGCCATTTTTTTTCTTAAGTGCAGCTTTCTCTAAAGTCTAAAAATGATTCTTTGGTGTTTCTTACGCAAGGATTGCTGAGCACATAAAACCAACATTGCTTGCACAGGACGGCTGCACATGTCCATAAATTGCCTTGATTGTTTAAAATACATATGTGCTTTTTTTGGTCTTTAAGCAACTTTTTAAAAGTATTTTTGTATGTCAGCCATGAGCTAATGCACATATTTGAAACTGAGTATTTCCTACTTTGTGACATTCTATCATCCTATACCTCTGTTGCCTCTTTTGTTTAGCTGCAGTTACTTTATTTATGCCTTCTGTCCTGTCATGCAGCACTACAGATCTTCAGTGAAAGTTGGCCCTGGACTTTTCCTACATTTCAACACACACACACACACAGAGAGAGAGAGAGAGAGAGTTGGAACATTTTTATTCATTTCCATCACCATCTGCATTGGAAAATAGAGGTTTGGGGATGTTTGGTTTGCGTTTGAAATGTCTTCCTGTGGTACACAAGAAGTCCTCAACTTGCAAGCATTCATTTAGCAACCATTCAAAATTACAATAGTGACTTACAACTAGTCCTTGCACTTATGACCATACAAGCATCTGTACAGTCACATGATCAAAATTCAGGTGCTTAGCAACTGGAAGGTATTTATGACGGTTGCAGCATCCTGCAATTGCCATTTGCAACCTGACAAACAAAGCCAGTGGGAGAAGCTGGATTCACTTAACAGCCACATAGTTCACTTAAAAACTGTGCCTAAAAAAATCGGGTGTGACTCACTTAACCACCATCCTGCTTAGCAATGGAAATGCTGGTTTCATTCGGGGTCATAAATTGAGCATTTCCAGGTTAGCTTCTGTTTGCAAGTGTTCATTAAAAGAAAATGGAATAGCCATTGAAAACAACAGTATACACTTTGGAAAATCTTCCTTCTTAAGTGATCCCCAGTGGGCTCTCTTGCTTAAGAATAGAAGAAATATTTTGCTGGACCAAAACAAGATTCTCTTAGCCCATCTTTCTTTAAAAGATTCCTCCCATCGGAGACACTAAGCCCGCACTGCCTGGTTGCCTCATCCGCAGAACTGTTTCTGGAGGGCTGTGATGAAGAACAACAACTGTATTAATTCCCAGCTGACACTCAAAGTGATTGCCCAATCCTTCTATCTCAGGTGGCTGAAAAAATAGTAGTTGAACTACCCTCATTAAAAATCGATCAATCAATCAATCAATCAATCAATCCAGAAACAGGATGCTCAGAAAGTCAAATAGTATTCTAAGAAATCTGCTGAATTTTAGGCTAGCAACTTTTTACGAATAAGGCCAGTATTATACTGACTTCACTACTATTGCAGTCTCATTGAAAAATGGGTGGAAAAAAAAATCAAATGTAGTAATAATAATAATAATGCAGTTTGGGGTATGCATTTTGATACTTAGACTCTTATATGTGCATTAACTTTGTGTCTGGGGTTGTGTGTGTACAGATTGACAGACATATGTATAAAGGTAGTCTCCAACTTACAACAGTTCATTTAGTGACCGTTCAAAGTTGCAACAACTTATGACTGTTTTTCACACTTACAACTATTGCAGCATCCCCATATGGTCACTTGATCAAAATTCAGATACTTGACAAATGACTGTTGCAGTGTCCTGGGGTCTTTTTATCACATTCTGCAATCTTCTTTGACAAGCAAAGTCAATGGGAAAGCCAGATTCACTTAACAACTGTGTTACTAACTTAAGAATTTGCAGGGATTGGCAAGAAAGGTTGTAAAATGGGGCAAAACTTGCTTAACACATTTCTCACTTAGCAACAGGAATTTTAGGCTCAATTGTGGTCGTAAGTCGAGAACTACCTGGAATA